ATTGTGGGCCATCAACAGCAGCGATGTATTCAAACATGATCTGCAACTTCTGACCCTGCATATCCACCAGTCTACCATTACCATCAAGATAGGGGATAAATCCAGATTCAACGGACAGTGCAGAAGGGCATGCCAGGACCAGCGTCCCCAAAAATGAGAAGTCAACCTGCTGGAGCTACCAAACAGGACCTCTTGAGCACCAAAAAGCACAAGTAGGAAGTAATAGAGAGAGATAAATGATCCCACAACCAACAGATCAGATCTAAGCTCTGCAGTCCTGGCACATCCAGCTGTGAATGGTGGTGGACAATTAAACAACTCACTGGAGGAGACGGCTCCATAAACATCCCCATCTTCAGTGATGAGAGAATCCAGCACATCATCTCCAGAGATCCCAAGCAACGCAGATACTAGTCTTCAGCCAATTTGATTCATCCCACGTGACATCAAGAAATGGCTGTAGTACTGCAAAGGCCATGGGCCGTGACAACATTCTGGCAATAGTGCTAAAAACATGTGTTCCAGAACTTGGCAAACTCCAAGCCAACCTGTTCCAGTACAGCTACAACACTGGCATCTACTCAGCAATGCGGAAAATTGCTCAGGTATGTGCTGTGCACTAAAAGCTGGACATATCCAACCGGGCCAATTACTGCCCCATCGGCCAACTCTCGATCATCAGTAAAGTGACGAAAGGTGTCATCAAGCAGCACCTGCTCAGTGACACCCAGTTTGGGTTCCACCAGGGCCACTCAGCTCCTGACCTCATTACAGCCTTGGTTCAAACATGGACAAAAGGTCTGAATTCCAGAGGTGAGGTGAGAGTGACAGCTCTTGACATCAAGGCTGCATTCGACCGAGTGTGGCATCAAGGAACCCGAGCAAAACTGGAGTCATTGGTAATCGGGGGAAAACTCTCCGCTGGCTTGAAGATGGATGTGGTTGTTGGAGGTCAGTCATCTCAGCAGGAGTTCCTCAGGGTAGTGTCCTCGGCCCAACCATCTTCAGCTGCTTCATCAACAACCTTCCCACCATCATAAAGTCAGGTGAGAGAATGTTTGTTGATGACTGCACAGTATTTAGCAGCATTTGTGACGCCCACAGGTACTGAAGCCATCTGTGCCAAAATGCAACAAGATCTGGAAAATATCCAGGCCTGGCAGCACACAAGTGTCAGGCATTGCCCATTTCCAAACGAGAGAGAATTTAACAATCACATCAATTGCATTGCAATCACTGAACCGCCCATTATCAACATCCTGGCTGTACCAGAAATTGAAGTAGACAGGTCATATAACTACGGTAGCTGCAAGAACAGGTCAGAGGCTGGGAACCTTGCAATGAGTAATTCACCTCCCTCAAAGCCTACGCACAACTTGCAAAGCACAAGAATGTGATGAAATAATCTCCACTCACCAAGACACGTGCAGTTCTAACAACTCTCAAAAGAAGCTCGACAAGCAGCACACTTGTTTGGCACAATTCACTATCTACAATGGATGCTAAGTAGCAAGAGGATGTACCATCTCAAAGATGCAGTGCAGAAATTCACTGAAGCTCTTTAGACAGCATCTTCCAAATCCCTGACCAATTCAATCTTGAAGGACAAGGGTAGCAGATACATGGGAACACCACCACCTGCAGGTTCTTCTCTAGGCCAATCACCATCCTGATTTCGAGACACATTGTTGTTTCTTTCAGTATCACTGAACCTCCCTTTACTTCCTTTACCATCCTTTTACTTCCTCCCTAAGAGCATTGAGGGCGTCCCTACAAGTGAACAGCATCAATTCAAGGTGACAGAGTCATAGAGGTTTACAGCATGGAAACAGGCCCTCCAGCCCAACTTGCCCACGCTGCCCAGTTTTCACGATTAAACTAACCATATTTGCCTGTTTGGTCCAGATCCCTCCATACCTATCCCATGTACCTGTCCAAATGTTCCTTAAAATGATGTAATTGTACTCACTTCCACCATTATCTCTGGCAGCCCGTTCCAGGCACTCACCACCCTCTGTTTTTTAAAAAAAAAAAAAAAAAAATTGCCCCTCTGGACCCTTTTATGTCTCTCCCCTCTCACCTTAATCCTACGCCCTCTAGTTTTAAACTCCCCGACCATGGGGCAAAGCTGTTGACTATCTACTTTATCTATGCCCCCTCATAACAGACCTCTATAAAAAGGTCATCCTCAGTCTCTGATGTTCCAGGGAAAAATTCTCCTAGCCTATCCAGTCTCTCCTTATAACTCAAACCTTCTAGTACAGGTAGCATCCTAGTAAGTCTTTTCTGTACTCTTTCTAGTTTAATAATATCCTTTCTATAGTAGGGCGACCAGAACTGCACACAGCTGTGACAAGTTGCCCCAAATCCTATAAATGTTCTGACTGATGAAAGCAAGCATGCCGAAAGCTTTCTTCGCCACCCTTCCGATATGTGACTCCACTTTCAAAGAGCTATGAACCTGTATCCCTAGATCTCCTTGTTCTAGCACACTCCGCAGGGCCCTACTACTGACTGTGCAAGTCCTGCCCTGGTTTGACCCATCAAAATGACAGTTTCGCGGTTCACCACCACCTTATCAAGGACTAGGGATGGGCAATAAATGCTGACACCCACATCCCGTGAGAGAATTAAACAAACAACATTTGGTTGAATGACTCATTTGTCCCTTAGTTGTAGAAAAATACACAACACAATCTTAAGTAGATCTTAATGTTTCATTGTAATCGAGTCCAATGGTTGACAGGCCCTAGCTGCAAGCTGTTAAATTAAACGAGTTAGTATTTAGTAAAATTTAGTAACAGTGCCACTGCCCATTAACGTGCATCATGAGAAGCGGTCACATTGCAATTTGTTGCTTAATTCTATCAAGTCTGCTTTCTCAATATAGGGCAGCACGGTGGCTCTGTGGTTAGCACTGCTGCCTCACAGTGCTAGGGACCCGGGTTCGATTCCACCCTCAGGTGACTGTCTGTTTGGATTTTGCATGTTCTCCCCGTGTCTTCGTGGGTTTCCTCCCACAGTCCAAAGATGTGCAGGCTAGATGTACTGGACACGCTAAATTGATCCATAGTGTCCAGGGATATGCAGGCTGGGTGAGCCATGGAGAATGCAGGGTTACAGGGATGGGATAGGGTAGGGGGTGGGTCTGGGTAGGATGCTCTTCAGAGGGTTGGCGTGGACTCAATGGGCCTAATGGCCTGCTTCCTCACTGCATGGATTCTAAGTTACACCTACAATATCAACGACATTGGGGTGGAACAAAATTGAACATGGGATATCACGAGCTGTTGCATGAAGCTTTTAACATCCTTTAGAATTGAAATGTCTTTCGATAGCGAACTTTAGCAACAGTGCAGAGGTAGGAGAGAGAGAGGCTAAAGGCATCAATCAGCAATTCTCTTGTTTGGTTTGACACCCAGAGGTCATTTCATCAACTTTACTCAATAGCAGCTGGGACAAGGTGAAGAAATTGGACATGCTGACATCTGGGAGGGGCACAAGTCCAGGGATAAGTTTTCTGAATGGTTTCTTGAGTAATACAATGTTGCTGCTTTAAATGGGGTGCTCTGGTACTTTAACATACAGTTAGGACAATCTCACAGGCTCCCTTTAGCAGCTTTTCATCCACATATCATTCTTTGGTGCAGTGAAAGTACCAATAACCAGGCTCTAGCCTCAAGATAACCTTCATCTGTAATCATCTAAAGTTTCTTAAAATTAATTTGTGGGGTATGGGCATCGACAGACTAGGCGAGCATTTATTACCCGTTTCTAACTCACCTGTTGCAGCCCAAGTGGTGTAGACACCTACAATGCTAATAGGAACGGAGATTTTGACCCATTGAGAATGAGGGAAGTGGCAATAGAATTCTAAGTCATGCTGGTGTTTAGGACTGAAGGAACATGCAGGAGCTCCCACATATCTGTTGCCCTGATTCTTCTAGGTGGTAGAGGTCATGGGCTTGGTAGGGTGCTGCAGAAGGAGCTTTTATGGCTAACCACGGTGTATTTCGTACAGTGGTAAACACATCTGCCACTGTGCATCTCTGGTGAAGAGAATGAATGTTAAAGGTGGTCAATGTGGTGCCAGTCAAACAACATATGCAAGCGTGTGCGAGAGAACGCAGTCTCATCTCTCCAACTTCTTCCTCCTTTTCCTACCCTGCCCACTTCTCAGATTGGACACGCTCCATCCATCTTCAATAGTGCCTGTCTTCACCTTATTCACAGCACCTCAGTGGTCTAGTTACAGCGAGGGACACTATGTTCAAGATGGTGGCTATACTCTTCTACTTAATGACAGCACATCAAGGCACCAAACACCTTTCAAAATGTAGAAGTCAAAGTTAAATACCAAAGAATTGTAGATCCTGAATTCTTAAGCAATATTTCATTTGGAATGTAGGGATTCAGATGTCCAATTCCATCCTCCCTCCAAAATGACTGTTGCTGGGACATCCTTTCATGATCAGTGGCAGTTCCCACCCACTATCCCGCACCTAATCTTATCAAGTGTCAAAAGAAAGTACAGGACAATTTATTGGGACCAACAGAGTGAGAGACAAGCCTAGTCCTCTTGTCGTACAAAACCTGCCTGCCCACATCCTTTTTAATGGCTGGACAGGGTACAGCCTATGAGCAGGAACACTGAGTAATCTGCTTTCCTCCCTAACCCAGGGCATGGAGCTGAATGGTACCATCCCAACAGACGTTCACACACCCAGGTGTAGATCAGTCTCAAACCAGAAACCTTCTGGCTTATCGTATCATCAACAACAACTTGCACCTATATGGTACAAACCAATTTCAGAGAGCAAGCCACCTGGTGACCAGATACTTGGTCAAAGTTTTGAGGTGCGTCGTATAACACAGAGAATGTATCCATCCACAAATCTATTCCCAGACTACTTTTAACTAGTTATCTCGCATTGTTCTGTTAAAACACTTGCTGACCAAGAGCCCTTCAGCTCGGGATTGTAGTTTCATGAAATACTCACGTTAAATGCTCCCAACAAATAAAGGGTTGGCTCTAAACCAACAGAGAATATGAGCCGCAAAATTGTAGAGGCTATCAAAGCTCGGATGCCATGGGGTTTAGGAAGGGCGATCACGATGGCCAGAGATATACAGACGGCTGTCCACAGTAGGCCCGATAAGTGTGCCTCCAAAGTACCTGCGCACAAAACAGACAGTGAATTCAACATAAAACTGGTTTCCTGTACAGGGCACAAGAGGTTTATTGAAAATTGTTGACCATGGCCTTTGTAGCCGTAAACAGGAAATTTCCTGTTGTACATACATTATTTCAGGGGACAATAAGCAACAGAAGGACTTGCATTTAAAGAAATTAATTTGAATGACCCTGCTCCTCCAGTAGGAGATAGGATCAACCACAAAAACACTAATTTCTACATAGTTACCAAGCTCTGCATACAAGAACTATTGACAGGCGAGAAAATGAGATTTAAAGCTTCTATGCATTCAGACTTAACTTTATTCCTTGCCAGCAAACAAACAGGCAATAGTAAAAGTCTTGGCCATTAATCAGAGGGGAAGATGGTCAGTGGGCCTCAGCACACTCAAGGTTGTCCCATAAATGGAGAAGAAATTTGAAGAGGGAGGGTGGGGATTGCAAAGTGAGACCTCCACTGTTTGCCTAGCCAGACTCGGAAAATAGAGTGTGTTTTGGGCTCTGCAGTGTCAAATAACTGCAATCGGTTGATGTTGGCATCAACAGTCCAGCCCTGAACGTCATCATTCAGTTACTAACAAGATGGAAGGTATTGTTAGTGGATCTCTGTCATATTGCTCTTGGAAAATTGATGTTGTAGGCATTGGAGTGTTAATCCCTGCAATACACAATGCCATGAGTCTGACGCATATCTTTGACATTATTGCTGAGCAACTATTTAGGCTACCAAGCCGTGATTGGTGAAATTGATCAAGATATTCTGATTGAGCATTTACTCCATGACTCAAAAGGTCAGTGGAAACATAGCAGGGGAGGATTTCTACCCAGCTGTTAGACTCAATCGTGACCTTGCAAAATTACTCAGATGTTACCTGAACCTCTAGTTTTTGGAAGATTCCTAACAGCATTTCCAGTTGTACTTGGGGCTGGACAACTTAGGCCTGGTTAGCTTAGTCGGTTGAGCATGATTCTTAACTTCAGGGTCCTGGGTTCGAGCCCTGCGCTGGGCGATGTTGTCTGGGGCAGCACGGTGGCTCAGTGGTTAGCACTGCTGCCTCACAGCGCCAGGGATCCAGGTTCAATCCCACCCTCGGGCGACTGTCTGTGTGGAGTTTGCACATTCTCCCTGTGTCTGCGTGGGTTTCCTCCGGGTGCTCCGGTTTCCTCCCACAGTCCAAAGATGTGCAGGCTAGATGTATTGGCCATGCTAAATTGCCCACAGTGTTCAGGGATGTGTAGATTACGTGGGTTGCAGGGGGATGGGTCTGGGTGGAATGCTCCGAGGTTCAATGTGCACTTGTAGGGCCTGTTTCCACACAGTAGAGATTCTGCGATTCTATGAACTTCAGGAACTGATAGAATCAGTGGACTTTAATGCTGCCTTGATGAATTGTAAAGTCTGCATGTTCTTCTACTTTTTCATATTTTTGATTGTGGACTGAGATGGAAAAAGCACATCAGGGATTAATTTCCAGTGCACTACCCCAAAGGTAGGTGATAGAATGAAGCAAAATCTCAATAGTCAAATATATGCTGATAGTCCCCTGATTACTGTCTACTTTCACTAGGAGTTCTTTGGGTACAGTTGGTGGCAACCCTACCTCGAGGCTAGATACTGAGTGTTTAAGTCCCCCCGCACTCAGAACTTGATGGCCCACAAGACGTGGTTCAAAACACAGCCATTTCAATTTGTAAATTTCACCAATTTGGCTAGTGATAAGAACGTGTTTCCTTGTTAGCTAAAACTCTCCAGCTTCCTTACAGTAAAGATTCAGAGTGTAGGTTTTTGCCATGAACAAATATCCTCCTTATACCAGGGGAATACCAAACATACACACACACACAAAGACACATGCACAAAGGTGTCTGCGATAGTTATTTGAACTCATGTGCGAACAGGTTACACCTAGCATTATTGAGGTAATGATGATTTGAGGTCAAGTGCATGACTCATTGTTATCCTGTTTCAATACACTCACATAGACAGGTTGGAACTTTCTGGTAGCTAGTAAGAGTGACAACCTTTAGAAATGGTGTAATAAGTTCCGATCAAATTATCCATTCTGGGAGACTGAAGTACACTCAGGTCACACTCCAATGCTGCACTGAGGTGGTGCTGCCACATCAGAGATTTACCCTCCAAATTAAATCGTGGCTCCCATCTGCCCTTTTCAGGTGGATGCATGGATCCCATAGTTTGTAGCATTCTTGCCTCTGACTCAGAAGGTCCCAGATTCAAGTCCCATCTGTGACCCGAACACAAACGTCATGACTGACAGAGGTGATGTCTTTTGGATGAGATGTTAAATTAAACCCTGCCTGCCCCTCTGAGGTGGGTATGAAAGATCTCATGGCACTATTTCACAGTGGAGCAGGGGATTTATTTCCGCTATCCATGCCAATACCTATCCCTTAGTCAAAATGACAGAAACAGATTGTCTGGCCATAACACATTGCTGTTTGTGGGAGCTAACTGTGCAAATTGGCTGCAGTGTTTGCTACATTGCAACACTTCAAGAGTTCTTAATTGGCTGTAAATGACTTTCAGAAGTCTTGTGGTTGTGAGAAAATCATAAATACAAGGCTCTCTCTGCTTTAATGATAATATTTAAAGAAAAGAGCAGGATAGTTCTCCCTAATGTCCTGGCCAATATTAACTCATCACTAAAAAAAATTATCTTTAATTTTCGTATTGCCGAGTGCATGAGCTGGCTGTGTCCAAAACTGATGGCTTAATTCCTACAGTCCAACTGGGACTTCAATAAAAACAAAACTATTATCATCAGCTTCCATTACACTGTGCAGCCTTCAGTCACTGCATTTCCACACCATCAACAGTGCCTGTGAAATTTTAATTTGAACTTCTGACACTATCTTCCCTCCATCACCAAGGCTGCCCACTTCCAGCTTCACATATTGCTCACTTTGCCTCAGTGTCCCCCGCCGTCTACCACACCAAAGCCTCATCCATGCTTTGGCTATCTCCCGGCTTGAATATTCCAACGCTTTCTAGCGAGTGTCACATCTTGCTTTCATGCAAAATCTGATGCCTATATTACAGCTTGCACTGCTTGCTCATCACATTCTGCTTACTGACCTGCTCTAGCTCCAACTGCAGCAATCCCTTGATTTTAAAATTCTCAGCCTTGCATTCAAATGCAGATGTGACTTAGAGAGAGAGAGACTGACTATGTAACCTGCTCCAGCCTTACAACCCTCTAGAAACTCAGAGGAAAACCTATTGCGGCCTCAAGCATCTCCCCAAAGCCTTTCACTCCACTGTTTTTGACTGTGTCTTCCACTTCCGAGGGCTAAGCTGTGAAATTCCTCACCCAAACGTCCTCTCTGTTCCCCTAAGTTCGAGATTCTCGACCACACTTGTGGTCACGTGTCCTAATTGCTATGTACCGTATTTTGTTTGATAACCTTCCTGTGAAGCTCCTTGTGATGTTTTACAACGCTAAGATTGCTACTTAAATGCAAAATTCCTGTTTTTAATTCTTTAAGGTAACATCCATTAATTGGACAGTATTCCAAATAAAGTCATGCTATTGGGTTTTCTCTGCTCCTGAATTTCTAATGGCTGCCACCTGTTTCTTCACTCTCAAATCTAACTTAAAATGTGACACAAAAAAACTGAACGTGGCTATTAAGTGTGACAGATATATATATATACATCCTATCCAAACATAACAGTTCTGTGTGAACCTGTCTGAAACCTCAACCACAAAGTTAACAGCAGAACTAAAAAATGTTCTTTGAAACTCTTGAAATGAATATGGAATGCTGTACACCATTGCTTTAAAGGGTAAATCATCTGCTGTGCACAGGATCTTTGGGTCTAGCAGAGAGGTAGTGAGTACAGTTTGAGACATGCAACTACTCTGGTGATGGGACTAATGAGAAGCAGCAGTGCTGCACCATGCTGCGCTCTCTCTCCTACAGGGATGATGAAAGATTAATGACAGCACTCCACCAACTGTTGGAGCAGAGAGTTGACGGTTCCCCGAAGTTTCTTGGAAAGAGATTAGAGTGCCTCCACATAAATACTTCTGCAAAGTACGAAAGCAAGACTGGAGCAACGTTCTGAAGCAGCAAGATGTTGAAATGCACAAAACAGCTGGATTATTCAGACTCGATTGGAGGCCCATGCATCCATTTTTAACTAAGACACAGCCCCTTTAAGAGCTGCTCCTTTACATCTTGTCAAAGGCCACTGGTCGACAGTTCATTAGAAATGAACTCGATGAACAGTTTCTTACATGTCACAGTAGGACACGGAACTTTCATTTGGCTTTTGGGTATCAGGTCCACCTTGGATGCGTGTTCATGTCCATCTTATTGAGGGGTGAGGGGGCCGCGTGACACAGCACGCACTCAAAAGAAAAATAATTCCCCATGTCTGATGACAGCAGGCAACAAGAGGAACATATTCATGAAAACCCAATGGGTTTCAGTTCCTTGCACCATATGAAAAAGAAACCTGCCGCAAGCATTTAAATAAAACCATTCATATCAAGACCAGTCAAGGAACGTCTTGTGAATAAAATATTCCATTGATCAAAACACATTCTTGTGCCAAACTTACGACATTTAAGATGACAAAATTTCCCACTTTACAATAATGACCTTTTTACAAAAAGGCGACTCAATTTGTTGTAAAACACCTTGGGATGTCATGAAATCATGGAAGGCAATGTATGAAAGTAAGTTAAAAAAAGCAAAACTAAAATACTTCAGTATTTAGCCTTTTCACCATTAAAAAGAGAGGTGCCAGCTACTTCTTTGAATTTTTGTGACAAGCACATTTTAAGTTTACAAGAGAACTGGTTTGACGGCTCTGGAGTTTAATGTCTCAGTTTTTCTCAACCATTTTAATTTATTCGGTGGGACTTTTCTCCACCTTGATCAAACAAAGTAGTAAAAAGGCTCAGAGTGCACTGACAAACTGGACCAAAGGGCAAGGCTGGCTAGTTGGAAGCAATGAGCTTCCACAATAGTCCTGCCGTGTGCGCCAGGGAAGTTAAAACCATCACATGGATACCAGTGGCAAGACTTGGACACCTAGCTTATGGCAGTTGATTTAATATATAATTTAATCTGTATTTCTGAGGAAACAGACCTATTCAAAACTGTGCTTCCCAGGATGTGGGCAGCCTTCAACACAATAGGAACTAGAGTTAGTCAACTGCTCCTCAACCTGTTCCACCGTACAATTAAATGACCGAGCTGTATCTCAACCCTATTTAACAAATTTTCACCCAGTGTTCATTTAAACCCTTCCCTACTAAAAATCTATTGACTTCACAGTTGACAACTGAATGGACACTGCCTCCCTAGCTTTGCGAGGGTGGAAGTTTGGGATTTCAATGGGATGGGGCACAAACAGAGTCACTTCACGCATTGTCAGACCAGCTGCATTCTTAGTGGGCTGTCGTCTTGACCTGGACTCTGTCACCGGTGGGTATAACTTCTGCATTTACCTACTTTCTTTATAAGTATCTTGACTAGATCATACCAAACCTTCTAAACTCCTATAAGCACAAGTCCCATTTATGCAAACTATTATTTAAGCACTTGAGATAGAGAACAGATACTGTTTATAACAACCTTGACTCTCCCAGTTTAACTCTTTTGAGGGTGAAGAGGAAAGAAATCTACAGAAGTAGATATTGAGGTTCAAGGACATTCAGACTCTCACGGACCACACCATTTGTATTCGCCGAGAGTCGAGTCACAAGCACAATTTCGATTAAGCCCATGCAAAGAACTCTTTGTCTTGTGCTCGGGAAGCATAGCAACACCACAGTCACTGAAACCAACCCTGAACAGCTTATGAGGATCCACAGAATTGTCTGTAGACATGAATCATCACAGCGTTCCTGCAGCTCTGCGAATGATTTGAGGCAGTGCACACTTTGTCCGGGAGGACAAATGCTGTAATCCCTGAGCTGTCACCTATATCACCAACAAGGATCAAGTCTATGATCCAGCAGTGGAGCCTCCAGGGTTTAATCTCTCTCTCAAAGGAAAAAAAAGGGTCTTGCTCTCAACAAGAACGACACTCCCCATGCAAAGACATCACACTTCCTCCAAACATGGAATCTCAAGGAGAGGCCAGCATGTAACCGTGGTCACCCAGATCAGACTGGTTGCCATGCAGTGAGTTGAAGCAGCCTATGGGAATTGGCTACGAAGTTCAAGGCAGTCTACTTGACAGCACAGAGGGCTAAGATTTGGCTGCCCCACTTGGACTTAGATCTGTGAAGGTGAAAGGTCCAAGTCATACCCACGGTGATGACCTGGATCACAAAACTTGGATTAGCCATGATGTTGCATCAGCAAACTGGTTAGCATCAGCATAAATGAAACTAGAGCGAATCGGTTGCCTTCCAGTCTGTGGTGAGTGCGTTTCATTGCAGTGCAATTTAAGAGAACGTTGGAAGTCAACAAGACTTCTAAATAAAGAACAGACAGGACAAGGGTTAAATTCTTCATTGTAAGGTCACTCATACAAAAGGATTGACACACCTGGATAGTTAGGTTTTCTTTCCATCATAGGATCCCGACAGAATTCCTACAGTGTGGAAGCAGGTCATCTGACCCAGAGTCCACACCGATCGTCTGAAGAGTACCCCACCCAGACCTTCATTTCTTCATTTCTGAAGAAGGATCTAGGCCCGAAACGTCAGCCTTTCTGCTCCTATGCTGCTGCTTGGCCTGCTGTGCTCATCCAGCTCTGCACCTTGTTGTCTCGAGTTTTCCAGCACAGTTCTCTCCCCATTACATCTGCCATGAGATTTCAATTAACTACACGACAACATATAGTGTATACCTGGTGGTTTCATCTCACACAGCAAGTTTTTTTTTAGGCAATGCCAATGTCTTTTCAAAAAGTACATTTTCGCAGGTACACTGGGATCTCTGGACAGAGGTTGCCCAGTGTGACAAGAATGAACTTGACTTGCTACAGTGCCTTTCATTACCTTGCAACATCCCAAATCATTCCGCAGCCAATGAAGTGCTTTTGAAATATGTCTCTGTTGTAAAATAAAAGAGGCAGCAGTGACCAAGTTGCACGAGAAGAATCTCTACAAACAGCAGTGAGGCAATAGCTATTTCATCATCTTATCAGTGATGTCCAATGTGGGATACTCAATGGTTACACCTCCAGGGAGACATGCTCCCCTTTCTTTTAAATAGTGACAGAACCGTACGTCAAACTAACTGATGGTACACGACACTGAAACACGTGACTTAGCTTTAGAGATTTACATACTTTGTTTTAGTGTGGGCTGTTTTACTATCCATTCAAGCTCAGTCCAGGCATCTAGGTTTTTGTCTTAAAAAATTGCTTACTAACAATATTGACTTGATGCTAAGGCTGCAGAGCTCCATGATCTGTAATTCTAGAGTTTCAACATTCTGAATCCTATCACATGGTCACTGAGGTCATATGACATGGCAGCATCTCTCAAAGGCACACTTATATATTCATTTATTTATATCAACCCCTTTCTCTACAATCTCCAAGTTACAATCTGCATCTCAGTTGGTTTCAATTCACTCCAAAACATTTAAAAAGTACATAACTTTCCCAATCATGGGACTAGCAAAACTTCTAAGCTCTTCAGAACTGCTGGATTGCTCATAATTTGCCATCTTAGGCTGTAGAGCTAACAGCCACGTTTGTAAAAAATACAGTGGAACAAATTAAAATCACTACATAAATGGTTGAAAAAAAATCATTAAATGACAGAGATCCTCAAAGAAGCCACTTTCGATTATTTAGACTGAAAGACAATTTCTAATTAAGTGCCTGTGGGCTTGACATGGAATGCAGCTTAAACAGAAAGGAGTGGATAAAATCATCCAACGTTTCAATAAAATCACATTCAATTAAAACATTTGTTGATGGAGTATATCAGAAGAGGGAAAAAAAAGATCAAGAACGGGCACAACATTTGAAGGTTCCACTTAAACAAGCCACTAATTGAATAAGCAAACCACAGCCCGATTCACATGCACACGAGTCACGGTGACATTACCTCCTCGGACACCTTCGAAAGGGTAAAATAATGCCACCAGCAGGTTCATGAGGACAGCCAAATTGAAGGAGATGCTGCTCCAAAAGGTCATGTTACGAGAGCACCAGTACAAAACTGGCTGTCCTGTGAAAACAAAACCAGAGAGCTCAAGGTAAATGGAGATCGTGGGGCTGGATAATAACTTAAATATTAACCTTATTGTAGACTCATTTTAGAAATATGCATCTGATAAAATTAGCGCAAGTCCTCAAGGTAAGTGGGGCCAGATGAACAGGCATTTGGAATTAGAAAAAGGTGTTACAACACCAATGACATGATGCTTTAAACAATGGGCTTGGGTGAGCCAGACCCAGTTTGGACAAATGAGTATTTTCTATGAGAATGGGAATTGGCCGTTGCTGTAGGGTTGCCAAGTCTCCGAGAAGGGGCCAGAGCCCCCAGGAATGGAATATCAAACTGCACAGGACTGCGGAGTGCAACCCCACAGAAAAACCACTGGTTTTGTAATTTTCTCTGAACATTCTGCTTTATGAGATCTAAAACATTGAAAGAGGGGACAAAAGGCTTATCGGCCAACACTCGAGCATCATTTGATTGACGAATTAATCTTTCTCCTTTACGTTATGTGTAGGAAGGCAGCGTGTCACAAGACGAATGATGTGTTGGCTGATGAATGGCCAGAACATGGGGACAAATCATGTGATGACACCAGCAGTAGCTTTAATCAAAACTGGCAACTGTATATTGTTGCCTCTTGAGCCTCCACCATTCAATTAGATCATAGCTGATCTCTCTCTCTCTCAACTCCATTTACCCATGTTGATTTCTGATCCTCAGTGAACAAGGATAACTAATAAACAATTCCAGTTTTAAACTTTTTAATTAATGCTAACTTAAGGAAATACTTTTATGTCTACCCTAGCAGATTCTTTCACCATGTTAAACACCTTGAGGTGATCACTTCTCATCTCAAGGCAAATCTGCAGAAACTGTGCTTATAAATTACTATCACCATTCTGGCAAATCTGTGTCATATTCTACTAAAGTCAGTGTGTATGCCCTAACGTAAAGGGTCTGAAGCTAAATGCTGTGTTCCAGATGGTATTTCCAGGCATGACTCCGTACAGCTGAAGCTTAGCTTCTTTCCTTTAGTATTCCAACCACTTTGAGGTGAAGGTAAAGGCACCACAAGTATTCTGATTCCATGTGGTTGCTTTTTTGGATACCAGTCATGCTCCTCCCTGCCTTAACATGCTTCTAGATAGGGTGGACATGTGCAGGACAGAGATTTATCAGCTATCAACATTCAGGTTTTTTTTTAAGCTAAGCCACTTTCTTTGGCTGCACTGCCATAAGATCAGACCAGTGCTTCAAACAAACATCTGCTGAAAATTGCACAGAATATTACAGACAGTAACGGCTAATTTACCTATGTTTATACAAGTCAAGGTGGTGCAATGTCCCTAGCTCTGAGCCAGGAGGCCTGGGTTCAAGTCCCACCTGCTCCAGGGGTGTGTAATAACAGCTCTGAACAGGCTGATTACAAAATACCAATAAAGTTCCATCAATGACTATAATGGGGTATGGAATACGACCCATTCACAACAGTTTGCGACAAAGCACAGAAATGAAAAATTGGTAATGGGCACCTGGAAAGCCAAGACCCAAACATCTGGTCAGTCCAGGTGGACAGGATAGTAGGTATGCTATTTATAATGACCTCTCTGATCAAGGAGAAGCAGCACCGAAAACATTCCCATGTTGCCGGCTCCCGATCGTGATTCCCCGGAATTCTGCGTGTGTGAGAGGGCACAAGGACTATGGGTGAACACGGATTGAGAAGAGGAACTCGAGTGCTGCTACAGCAATGAAGCAAAGCTAAAGAATTAATTGTCTCAGGAGACATGCAATCACGTCTTTCCTTTTTTAATAGGGGTTTTATCCATTTTAACTGTATGGTCTATCTTATTGATTGTGGTTTTTCATGATACAATGTGCGGGGAAAATTAAACTAGCAGTAATAATTGATCTTCTTATTCCTGTGTGTGTGTGCTCCATCTACATTTTGTGGTGTCATCCCTGAAAGATTTGCCCACAAAGAAATTATGCGTGTTCTGTGCAATACTCCAGACGGAAAAATGAAAAGTGGACAGAGCTTTCTTCGATGAAATAAACCTTGGTACAGTGCTCAGTGGAGATCCTATTCATGGAGGTGACGGAGGTGACAGAGGTGACAGAGGCGAAATGGAGTAACACGATAAAGATCTTGGCATGTACTGAAAATCTATTTTACATGCACCTGGTTCACCCAATGTTTGAAATGGTTACAGTTAATTAACAATGACTGTACAAGAAAGCCTGTTCTGAGCATAAAATGACAAATTGGTCAAACTCTTGGCCATCAGCAGCTCATGTGACTTGTTTAAAGATTCTGATTTCCAAAAGACTTATTACAGCAGTACAGCAAACTCCATAATTATGCAGAAACAGACCTGAAGAGTATAATGTTTGCAAGAATGCCAGCTTCACTCTGGGTAAATTGCAGAAGTGCCCTCTCTTTCACATGGAGAAGAACTGCACCTTCAATTGTCTCATCAGTAACAGTTAACCAGGTGAACCCAATTAAACATCCAACTCAAACTGAAGGGAGTCTAATTTTTGTGGCTTTTCAGAACAACAGGAGTAATTAGGATCACTGCACTTGGTTTCACACTCCAAGAAATATGGCAAGCGAAGGCACGGGCAGGTGTTAAGTCTGTTTTACAGGTAGGTCCCGACCAGGAATCCCGACAAACCAAGTGTGCTGACATTTCGCTGTTTCTGCTCAAAAGGTTTGGTCTTCAATTTCCTCCGGTTGTAACATGTGACATGTCATCAACTCAACTGAGCGCTTACAAGACTCGTCACGAGTCTGGCTGCCCATTTCATGTGCTCCACGTGTCATCCCTGAGGACTTCAAACCATTGATCGGGTCTTCAAAATTAAGCATCTTAACAGCTAAGCTGGAGAGCAAGCTTACTGTATAATACAAATTCACTGTAGGCATCTAAAAATAAAATGCAGTTCAAAGCAACTCCCAATAAAAAAGATGAAATTTCAGTGAAAAATTAAGGGCAAATAGATCAGCTATTTATGTCTGTTCACTAAACAAAGACATTACGTTCTCTGCTTTTAACTGCATCGCAGAACTTCGTAACAGTCATAAACGCCTCTTTATCCAGTAACTTGTTCTTAATCAATAATCATCCTCCTGTGACAAACAAGTCATTTGAGAATGGTTTGAACAGTTTAACCCGGAGGTATTTTGGTGAAGTTTGTTTTTAAAAAACTATTTCTGCTGGGAGTAGACAGCATACTCAGCAACCATAAAATTATTCAGCGTTGAAGATTTTATTCGTATGTTAAAATAATACAAAGGCAATAAGTGATAGAGGCTCATAACTCACCCCACAAATGGGAGAAATCAAAACCTTATAAACAGAGACAGAGGCCATTGTCTGTGTTGCTTTTTTGGTGGAAAAAAAGATCTGTCTAATGAATTTCTCAAAAGCCCTACAACATCTTTGTTTTCAACTATTTAATCAATTCCCTTTGAAGGCTACCAACGGGTTTAAAGGGATAGGGTCAAATGCTAGCAAATGGGACTAGGTCAGATATTGAGATGTCTGGTCAGTGCAGACAAGGTGGACCGAAGGGTCTGTTTCCGCGCTGTATACTTTATGACTATCAGATGGTGCTACACCTCCTTTGTGCAGACCAGACCACAACAATGCTTGAAAGAAAACAATATTCCCCTCATTTGCATTGCCATGGCTCAAGCCGCAGCAGTGAGAGAGTTATGAACATCACCTCTCCATCAAACAAGGACAGTGCAGAGCAGATGTCTCTCACCAGCAGAGAGTGAGTGTAGGCTTTAAAATTCTCCTTAGCACATCTGGAATAAGACCAGCCTTCCACAACCAGAAACAAATCCAATCTGATTTTTAAAAATTCAAAATTTTTAAATGTCTAAACATCCAATCGATTTCAGTGAATGTGTATTGTTGTGACTGAGTCTGGGGAAGTATACTGTCACTCTGGTCCAACTACTTCACAGGTCACAACATAGAACAGAGAGAGTTTTCCTAGTTACCAGAATGGCCAATTATATGTGGGTCAGGTTTCAAATAAAATGATCCATCAACCAATGATTTCTTTGCAGCAATGAGCTTTCTGGGGGGAAACAATTCTGAGCCAATCAGTTATTCTTGAAGACAAAAAGGACAGAGATAGATAGAATCCTTAGAGTCTGGAAACAGGCTATTCAGCCCAACAAGTCCACACTGCCTCTCCAAAGAGCATTCCATTCAGACCCAACCCCCTACCTTTTCCCCGTAACCCTGCATTTCCCACGTCTAATCCGACTAATTTACACATCGCTGGACACCTAACCTGCACATCTTTGGACTGTGGGAGGAAACCAGAGCACCCGACAGAAAGCCCACACAGACACGGGGAGGACATACAAACTCCACACAGACAGTCATCTGCGGGTGGAATCGAACCCGGATCACTGGCGCTGTGAGGCAGCAATGTTAACCACTAAGCCACTGTGCTGCCCTATGTGATATAGAATGCTCTCAAATCTATTGTTCTGACATTCTAGCATGTATGGTCACATCACTAATCATGACTCTGGAGTCTTGGCAGACACAGCTTGCTCAGGAAATGCAACGTTGAGAAGTTCCTTCAGATCACTGTTTCATATGAACAAATTGGTTTAACCCTGAATTCAACAGAAGATTTTTTTTTTGTTTAAAATCAAATGAGCAGTCCTTCTTCCCACATTTCTTGCTTCCCAAATGAAGACCAGATAAACCATGAAACTCCACAAGCCAGTCATTGTTCAAGCAGCCCCTGTAGGGTCTACTGCAGAACAAGGTATCACTGGCCAGGTGATTTCTAGACTTGTTTAAAACATTTCCAATGTCCACAATGACCTTTCAACAACCTCGTTTAAATAAACCATTGCAGGTATTTCCATAAAACTTGCAAGAAATGCATTATTCCATAATCCTTCAACATTTAAATCCTCATGAAATATCAGACATGGAGCTTCTTTGTAGCTGTAGAAAGAAACCGGT